ATGCAATTCCAAGGCTTATCCTAATACACAGATCTACAGGAACATACTTAGAGAATGGGATGTTCTGGAGAAGGCCTAGAAGTAGGACATATGTTCAGTTTCGTCATAACCAGAGGAAAGGCTATCCTAAGCTCTTCAATTCCTGTGAGTTAAAAACCCAGTGTTCTGAAGAAGCAAGAAGTGATGATGGAAGCCATGTTCCTCTTATTCACAGACATCCCCCACCCAGTACTCTGTGGGACTGAATGGAGCCCTAGAGCGGCCTCACGCAGTGACCTGCCCAGCTCAGTGAGGGAGATGCCCCTACCTCCTTCCAGATAATCTAGGCTCTGGGATTTCCTCATCAGACATGAGAAGGTAGCAACTCACATGACTAATCTACCTTCTGACATGTGTGTGCGTACAGCTAGTAGGTATGGGTACAGGTCAGACAGAGACATGGGGACACCTATCAGCTCTTCCTCACACCTAACATCTCCCTGGATTCTCAAAGGATTGAGGGCATGTGTCAACAAAGATCTTCTAGGACAGTGGTTCTCCACCTTCCTGATGCTGTGACTGCTGAGACCCTTTAATACAGTTCCTCATTTGTGGTGGCCCCCAACCATAAAATTGTTTTTGTTGCTACTTCATAGCTGTAATTTTGCTATTGTAATGAATGTGATATAAATATCTGTGTTTTCCAATGCTCTTAGGCAACTCCTGTGAAATGGTTGTTCGACACCCCCAAATGGGTCTCAACCCAATGTTGAGAACCACTTCTCTAGGAGGTGGCTAGTCTGGGTGGTTCATTGCCTTTTTGTTAACTGATAAATCCATGAAAATCTTCACATGTGGAAGCGAATATCCACAATACTAGCATAAAAATGCTAAGTCAGAAGAATTGAGAGTTCAAGGCCAGGCGAAACACATTGCAAAACCTGGTCCCAACAAAATGAACTAAAATCTTACATATTAAAAGGACACACAGACATTGTACAATGTTTAAGTCAGATTAAATGTTCAAATTCACAAACATTTATCATCTCTTTCTGGTGAAAACTTTGTTTCATGTTGCTTGATTCCCTGAGGCTGGCCTCGAACTCTTGATCCTCAGTCCTCTTCTGCCTGAATGATGGGATTATAGGCATGAACCATCATGCCCAGCTGGTGAAAACTTTGAAAACCCTTCTCCTAGCCTTTTGAAATGCACAGTGCATTGTTGTTATCTCTAGTCAACCTAGCATGCAATAGCACACCAGAACTTGTTGTGTCTTTCTTTCTGTAACCTGGTACCCATTGAGGGGATATCCCACACCCTCTCTGCCTACTCTCCTCTGATAGCCGCCATTCTGCTCTCAATTTGTCAGTGTTTTAGACTCGAGATCATGTGGAACTCTTCTTAGTTCACTTTACATGACCTCCAGTTCCATTCATGTTGGGTGATTGATATTAAATACAGGCACTCCATTTTCTTTGTCCGGTCATCAGTTGATAGACATAGAGTTTGTTTCAATTTCTTAGATATTGTGAAGAGTTTTCACAATTAATATTGAAGTTCGGATATTTCTTTGACATGCTGATTTCATTTCCTTTTAGTAAGTCCCCACTAGTGGCACTTCTGGATCATGAGGTAATTCTCTTTTAATTTCAGGAAGACCATCCATGCTATTGCATGATTCCACTAATTTACATCCCAACCAAT